GCGGTCAATCGCACCTGGTGAGATCCCGCGCAAAATGTGGGTCAGGTTGTCGAGCACGCGCCGCTGAATCTCTCGCATGTGGCGGGAAAGGTGAGCATCCTCGCGCAGCTGCATGGCACGTTCATCCACTTTTGGCCCTTCCTTGTACAAGACGAGGAGGAGGAGGAGCAGGAGCAGGAGCAGGAGCAGGCATCGAGCATGAGAAACGTACATGGCTAGAGATCAGCATCTCTTGAGCCTCTGCCATCCGCTGGTAGGTGATGGCAAGCTCCCGATGGTTCGTCTTGTAGCAACAGCTCACAAGCGCTGGGCCCGAGGCAGCCTCATACCTGGCTTGCAATGTCGGCCTTGTGCCGCGCCATGGTGTTGAACATGTGCTCCGCCTGCCACCATCAGCCCAGCTGCGTCACCTCCTCTCCTCATCACCTGGGCTACGAGACGGGATGGCATCCTGACGACTGTGCACTGGAGGGTCGACTCTCCTCGGACAAACTGAGGGCTGCGCTCAGCCCAGAGGGCCACTGCTCTTTCCCACCATAACGCACCGAGATCACATACTCCTCCCCGTGCCGATCCGAGGCACACAGGATCTCGCGGACAGAAGTGTCGACAGCGATCGCCTGCATGGTGAGACAGGCTCAGGTGCGCAGGCTGACCCTTCCTCGCTCGTCTGACCTGCCCATTGATCGATACAATCAGGTCCCCGGGTCTGAGACCAGCGATGTAGGATGGGCCTCCCGCCGAGACCTCCCTGCAAGGATCTAGTCAGTGTCCTCCTCTCCCTCCTCAGATCTGCCATGACCTGACTTGGCAATGGCGCAGGTTGGGGTTTTTCGCGTCAGGACCAAGAGCGAGGCCAATGGACGTCTGGTAGGCTACATGGTATCCTGGTTAGTGATCATCAAGGCGATCAGGCGACACCTTCGACGCTCTTGTTCTCCTGCAGACATTGTCAGAGCTAGAAGCCCTCCCATCATCTCTACGCATGCTTGTGCTGACCTGCAGATCGAGGTACGGCCCATCTGCTCGTGTAACCGCGTTGATGATTTCTTGGAATAGCTACAGGACGGTCGTCAATCACAAATGCAATCCTTGCTTGCGACGTCGGTATCTATCTCGCTGGGCTCTGTCACATACAACTCTCACTCATCTCTCTTTAGAACAACTGCCTGACTGTCTCACATAACTTTCGGTGTTCACGATCTCTTAAGGGAACTCTGATCAACACCCTCCCTACCGTACAGTGCCAAGGCTCTTCGCAATTCATCAACCTGACTCAATCACTACTGTAACTAACTCAACTACACAGCTGTCAGGGCTGACGATACTCAAACCCGAATGCAGGACCCTCGTGGGCACAATTCGAAAGGATCCCGGGCCAGGTGACAGTACAATCGGATGCCATGAGGAGAGCATAAAAGTCTTTGGACTCAACTCGACGGATCGTCCGACATCCTCCTCCTCCTCTCATGAGCGTCACCTCGGGGAACTGCGGGTGCCATGAGCGCAACGCGTCCTGAACGTTCGCCTCCATCGCCAACGACGCCATCTTGTCAAACAATCAAGCCTGATCGTCTGACCCCCACCCCCACCCCCTATGATCGAAACATGCAGTGTACCCCTTCTTCTTACCATATGGACCCCACCTATTGTATGAGTTAATTAAGAAATCTATCACCCCACCCTACCCTACTACACCTCCTCCAAATGGTGAAACCCCTACCCCCTCCTCTAGTAGTTCCGCTTTCTTTTTTGGACAAGACCCCTCCTTAGACTACCCCCACCCTCCTCGCAGGAGTAAGTTTCCTTCTGGCAGGTACCCCACCACCAATCTTGCTGGATTCTTATAGATAAGTACCCCCCTTAGTCAGTCAAGGCATCCCTTGAGGGATTTAATTACCCCTACCCCCTAGATATCCTACTTTGTGCAATACTGTCCACCCTACCCACCCTCCAACAAGTCATCTTTAGTCAAATCGGAGGTGACTGGTCAGCCATCATCCTGGGTTCTTCCCTACTCGATGGGAAGGGCGCGGGGCGGGCGTGCAGGGGGATAAGGGTGGGGTGGAAGAATGGGAAAAGGGGGGTGGGGTAACGAATGCTGAGCCCTAGTGGAACCAGAGCAAGATGGGTGGGTTCAGGTGGAAAGGGTGGGTACTATGAAGTGTCTCACTGAGGGGGTGATTCATAGGGAAAAGTAGGGGTACATTGCGTAATGAGGTGGGGTGGTTCAGTATGGGACGCAGTAGTAAAGCAGGGTTGCATAGAGAACGGGTTATTAGTATTTTAGAAGGTAGAACAAAGCGTACCGAATTGTAGGGGTACAACAACAGTACCAAATGGGGGTGGGGGTCCTAACAATGTGATTATTGTAGGCGGGGTGGTCATTGCCCACGACCTTTTGTTTTAGAGGACCCCAGAAGGACAAGGGGAGAGGAGGGGTGGAGGTATGGGATGTTGACTTGTGGTTTATTTTGATTTTGATGATAAAAATCAAATTATTGAGTAAACTCAGGGCCCATGACATATGTTGGATCGATTAAAATCTGTTCAGTGCGGTACGAAATCGAAAAAAAACCATGTTGTTGCCAGGGTTTGGTGGCATCTACTGTACAGGGGGTGGTGTGCACATGAGATCAGAATCCAAGGGGTGGTAAATTCTTGAGTAGGTGGGGGTAATTGTTCTGTGGTAGTCCAGCTTGACACATGGTGGGTACTTTCATGTAAACTATGGAGTAGGGTAATAATTTATAGGGGTGTAGCTATTCTCGCAAAGGATAAGGAGGGGTGAGGGTGGGAGATAAGGTTTGTGGTTGGGAGAACAAGGGGGTGGGGTACAAGGCACGGGTGCGGACAAGGTGGGCACCTTGGGGGGAGGGGGAGGGGTGGGTGGGGAGAGACGTGTTATAGGGCTGAAGGGGCTCAGGGGTAGTTAGGGAAATAGGGGTGGTACTAGATTCCGATTGGGGGTGGGGGTGGTATGGGTGTGAACCAACCAACCGCCATGGCGCGAGGTAGGCTGAACGAGGAAGGGGAGGAGAAGAAGATGGAGATTGAGGAGGGGGCGGCAGCTAGGAGCGAAGATCATGATCAAGTTCACGAGGCTGTTGTGGGCTCCCATGACTTTTCGCTTTCCCGAGATGAGAGAATCGAGTGCAGTGAGGTGGGGAGAGAAATTGGCGCCATTCCTGGTATGGACGTCCATGGGGACCGGGGAAAAGATGAGAGCTCCGGATCGGCAGAGGAGGAATCGAATTCTATCTCCACGAACAAGGCAGAGGATGCCGATGTCTCTGCTGCTGATGTGCATCACGGGAAGGAAAGGCTTCGACAAGCAAATAAGGGCAAACAGGTCAGCACGTGTGTGCTTCCAGAGTCTCGAGAGACCATGATAGCATGCAAGGAGTCCTCCAAGGCTGGGAACAAGTCCAGTGTGCTCATTGCAAGCCTCGCCACGCCACCGCGGCCTGTAACGAAGGGCGCGACTGAGTCTGAGAGTCCTCTGCCGTTCCAACCCAAGAAATCATGGTCTACCTTGTTCTCTGGGGCCGACGATGGTGCCGCCGGCATGGAGATGGACAAGAGCTATGGGGAGAACTGTGACGCGAATGCACCCAAATCATCCGTGAAGGAGGAGAAACCGCTGAGCATGCACACGGGAGACAAGTGATTCCGTCCGCTGATATTGCAGTTTGTGGGATTGACTTTGCTGACAGCAACGACGAGTCCTCGGAGAAGTTTGATCATGACGACTCGAGCTCGGACTCTCTTCCCATTGCTTCTGATGGGCTAGGACGAGTAGGCAATCTCAAGGGAGGCTATGTGAAGGGGCAATGGACGAAGGAGGTTAGAGAGGATGGAAGCTGGGTACATGATTAGTCTGACAAGCAAGGGGCAGGAGGATGAGCTTGTGATCAAGTATGTCTCCATGTATGGGACGAAACAGTGGGCCAGGATCGCTCTTGTTCTTCCAGGTTGATGCTCCTGCCTTGCTGACCTGGTCTGACGGTGGTGGGTACTTGAAGGGCGTAAGGGGAAGCAATGCCGGGAACGCTGGCACAACCATCTCAATCCAGGTAGCCGAAAAGTGCATGTGCGTGCAAGGAATGATTTTCATGCAGACATCGTCAAGGAAGCATGGTCGACCTGGGAAGATCTGAAGCTCGTGGAAGCGCACTTGGTGAGGAGCTGTTGCAGAGGGATGGCCCCGTTGTGCTGACATAGTGCATCGAGATCCATGGAAATCGATGGGCTGAAATCTCCAAGATGATTCCTGGTGAGTTCATCGGAGATCTTTGCTGTGGACGCTGCTGATGCTGGTGTGTTAGGCCGGACAGACAACGCGATCAAGAACAGGTGGAACTCAACGATCAGAAGGAAGCTTGTCAACAATGAGATGGTGCGTTCTATGCGTGTGGAGCTGGAGTGTGTATGACGGACTTTCAGGATTTGCCGCCTAAGCTGGCTGAGGACGTGAATCGAGCTAGACCCTTCAACTTTCAGCTGCCGCAAAGTGAGAGTTAGGGGATCCCAACGGCTGTAGGTTGACACTGAATGTAGATATGATCGACGGGTCGGACATCTCTGCATGGAGCGCCAGCATCGACGAGTCAAGTGTTCGCAAGAGCGGCAGTCTCAAGAGGAATGGGACGGCGTCCCTGCGTGTGGAGGTCCCCAGCGAGTGCGAGAGGGACGACCTGGATGCGGTCAGAAGCTCCTCTGGCTCCCCGATGTTGCCTGACTCTGCGCAGGTGAACGCGCTGCTGGGCCTGTCGTCGAGCTATGGGAACAAGTCGCCATGCCTGGAGACCATGCCGGACAACTTGGAGGAGGTGAGGCTTGTGGTTGGCGCCTCAAGACGCGTAACAGGCATTGCAGGCGACACTGCTGCTCTCCTCCTACTGCCATGGGTCGTCGCTGCCTGCCACTCCCTCGACATGCCTGAAGAAGAGGAGGTGAGAGAGCAAGAGGAGAGCCTTTCCTTTCCTCGTGTGATGTGCCTCGCAGCCGGACGCCGCGCAGTGACGGAAAGAAGGCCAAGAAAGCGAGGTCTGACACAGCACCGGCGTTCAAGGATACGCAACAGTGGAGGATGTCAGCTCCAGCGGAACAACTTGTGGCATAAGAATGTCTTCTAGTAAGTATGCCTCCTCGAATGTGGAGTCAATAAACATAAATGCATAAAGGTGTCTCTTAGTGCAATGAGCTATCAGGTTGAACAAATATTCAAGTTGAAATAGATTCTAACTTGTGCGAATATTCAAGTTGAAATAGATTCTAACTTGTGCGAATATTCAAGTTGAAATAGATTCTAACTTTTGCAAATACACTACACCTGGTTAGTTTACTCATAAGTTTTTTCAAAGGCATGCTCAGACTCTGCAGAGTCCATGAAACACTCACGTTATAAAAAGCAATGACATCTCAGGTTGTTCACTAATAAGGGTCGAAAACTTTTGATACTCATTGCGTCAACTACATATGACAAACAGACAAACCAAGCCAGAATTTGCTTGTCTCTCAGTTATGTTTCAACGTATGGGCAACGCACAATACATGCTATGTATGATGTCTTGATGCAATGAGAAGAGGGCTGAAGTTCGAATAGTTTCTGATTCTTTAATACATCTACACAGTTTACTCGTAGAGGGACTTGGTGTAGGTGGCGGTGGCAGCGACGTAGGCGTCACGGGCAGCCTTGTAGGGGCCGGTGGCGAGCTTGAGCTCGTTGGCAGCCTTCAAGTAGGCATCGCGGGTGGCGCGGTAGGTGGTGGCGTAATCCTCAAGATCGAAGAGAAGGGAGAACATTTCTGCTGAGGAAACGATCAGTAACTATTACACCTTCAAGTATCAATGCCACATCAAGTCTGAGACCAGAAGAGGAGGAAAGAAGAGGAGCAATGATAGGGAGGAATGATCAAAACGAAAAAATGAAACCATATAACAACCAAGAGACAACGAGGAAACTTAGCAAGCAAATGAACAGCACCAGTGATCGTTTCACAAGGTATGAGAGCAGGGGAGCGAGTAGGAAGCAGGCAACATCATCGTGACGTGTACAGTGACTGGCGTCTACCTGCCTGTATGGGAGAGACCGGAGAGGAGGAGCTTTTTATCAAGAAGGTTCGGGGAGGGTGGGACACTGGGGTACTGAAATGGGAGGGGTCATTAGGAATTATGAGGGGTACTGGAATTAAACATGGGGTGAGGGTGGATAATGGGATGGAGAATTAAAAGGTTGCGGTCAATCTATTGGATCTTTGCTGAAATAAATCTTAGCTATGGTACATATGTTATGGAGGTTGTCCTTTGTTGGGGGTGTAATAGAGTCAATTACATCATCATAGGGGTGGATCATGTAAAGTTATAGGTAGGGGTCAAATATTCGATTTAGAACTCTGGGGGAAACATGGTGGGGTAGTACGAGCTCTATTTCCGGAGTTTTTTTAGGTTACATATTTACCTCGATGATTTCTAAGTCATTTTATTGATTTACCTCGATGATTTTCGGACGGTACAGTGAGAGTACGGTCACTGGCCAGTACAGATCAATCATCAGATCCCGAGTCGGTAGTAGGCCCGGCCTCCCGGCGAACCGTGAACTTGCGGCCAGCCTCCGCCCTAGTACCGTGACTGCCACAGTGCCGGCCCGGGCCCGACCGCGCCGCCGGCAGCCCGCCGGCGGCCGGCGGCGGCGGATGATGCCACTGACTCAGTGAACTTGTGACGGAACTTGACAGGCTGCAGTGCCCCGGCGCCCAGTCACTGAGTTGAACTAAGTTCCGTATCGGACTCTCACTGACAAGTTCAACGGTCCCGGAGCAATTCGGCGGCGTTGGCCGAAGGGCGATTTACTAGCCTCGGCTCAGCAAGCGGTAGTACTCACAGAGTCAGCGGCCTCCGGACGGCACCCCGGGTGACCGTGTGAGCCTCCGAGCGAGGCTCCGCAGGCTGGGCCTATCCTGGCCGGGCGGCGTCACGGCCGGGCGTCGCCGCGTCCCGGCGATGATCTCACGGCGAGGCGGCAACCGGCGCCGCGGCGAGTCAGCCTGACAGGGTCACGGCCGGGGTCACAGTGCCCCGGCGGCAAATTCCCGCCGGGCCGGGACCGCCGAAGCCGCCGCAGTACTGAACGGTGGTACCATCATCGCGGGCCCGGGCGACAGGGCCGGCCCGGGCTTCAAAAAGTTCCAATCAGGTTATGCGGATCTTTGTTCGGCCCGGCCGCCCAACTTGAAAGAGACACACAGACGCCGTTTCAAACTTGAGACTCAGCCAAGCCTTCACGGTGGCTGAACCTCGGGACTCCCCTCCGAGGCCGCTAGGCTTAATGTCACGCCGGCTCCCGGCAGAGTCGGCGGCAGCAGCCACCGTGAAGGCCGTCTGACTGCATTGCCCGGGCTGGCAACCTGAGGCGGCCGGCGTGAATTCAAGCTGGGCAGGGACGTTCATCCCGCGTCGCAGTCTAAAGTTTTGACTCTGGCTTCGGCTGCTCTGCAGGACGAGTGAAACCGGGTGGCATGTACCAACCCCAGGGCTCTGACGACTTGTACTCCGTGACCTGAACAAGAAATTTCAAACTCGCGCGATCGTAGTAGGATCTCACCTGCTTGGCTTCCAGGAAGGACTCGAGGCCGTACTCTCCGTTGTCTCTGCCGAACCCACTCTTCCGCACGCCTCCCCATGGAACCTGTGCCACACATCAGAGAGGCTGGGAGTGACCTGGGGGAGAGAGCAACCTGGCAGAAGCACGGCTGGCTGCAGTTAACCCAAACGATCCCACACTTGAACTTCCTTGCCATGCGCATGGAGCGGTCTTGATCGGCAGTGAGGACTGGAGGACAAACAGCGTCAGGCAGCTACTACTTCTCACACGACCAAAGCAGGGGAGAACCTGCCGAGGCAAGCCCAGCCCATGTGTCATTCGCCAGTGCGATAGCTTCGGCTTCTGTCTTGAAGGTAGTAGCAGCCAGCACTGGCCCAAAGATCTCCTCCTTCCATATGCGCATGGATGGCTGGACGTTGGTGAACACTGTCGGGGCGATGTAGAATCCCTTGTTCGCAACGTTCTCCGGCCTGCCCCCGCCGCACAGCAGCGTTGCTCCCTCCTGCTTGCCGGACTCTATGTAGTTAAGCACCTTGTCGTACTGACTCTTGCAGATGATCGGACCGATGTAGGCGACCTTGTCGCTCGGAGGGTCAGCGGATGGCACGCCTGCACCTTCTCCGCCTCCTGCTTGAGCCTCGCGAAGACGCGAGGAGCGATGTCCTCATGGATGATGGCGCGGGAGGTGGCTGAGCATATCTGCCCGTTGGTCCAGAAGATCCCGAACATGATCCACTCCACAGCCTTCTCAACATCTGCGTCCTCGAACACAACGATAGGAGACTTTCCTCCCAGCTCCAACGACACGTTCCGGATGTCCCGCGCGCACGCCGCCATGATCCTCGACCCCGTGGGAACAGACCCAGTGAAGGCGATCTTCTCCACGTCCGGGTGCTCTGAGAGCGGACCCCCGCAGTCCGGGCCCAGACCAGGGAGGACGTTCAAGACACCAGCAGGCAGCTTCGCTTCCTGAAAGGCATAGACCGCCAGATCGTACGCGGTGAAAGGCGTGAGCTCCGAGGGCTTGAGAACGATGGTGCAGCCAGCTGCGAGAGCAGCCGCGACTTTCCATGCGGCCATGAGGAGCGGGTAGTTCCATGGGACGATCAGACCAACGACACCGACGGGCTCCCAGAACATCCTGACCGAGAACTCCTGCATGCCAACATCGACAACCTTCCCCTGCCTCTCCTCCAACGCCTCAGCGAGGCCTGCATGATGTCTGAAGCAAGCAGCCACATCATCCATGTCCCACGCCGCTTCTTGTATCGGTTTCCCTGCATTAAGAGCCTCTTTCTCTGCCAGACTGTCCTTGTGCTTCTCTACCGAGTCAGCGATGGCGCGCAAGACGGCAGCTCTTTCCTTCCCAGAGCTTGATCCCCAGGACTCCAGCGCTTCCTTGGCAGCCGCCACAGCAGCGTTCACATCCTCTCTGGTGGCAGAGGAGGCTACACCAAGAAGAGTCTCGTCTGCTGGGTTCACTATGTTCAGCTCCTGCCCTCCCGCCGCATCGCAGCTCCTCCCCCCAACAAACAACTTCGCTCGCAGCATTGCGACCTTCTCGTTCCAGCCAACCTCGCCCCCTGCGCGGTAGAGATGGGGTAGTGGTACTGATGTAGGGGTCATTATTAGCGTTGAAGGGAGGGAAAAGTAGGGGTAACTGTGGAATATTTTCCGGAAACGAGGGGTCAGGTGGGGTTACCCTATAGATAGCAGAGGTGGTAGGGGTTTTATGAGGGGAGAAGGGGTTGTATGAGTGGGGGTAGGGTAGTCCAACTTTTCAAGTGTGGCGGGAATGGGAGAACAGAATCGCTTGGAGCTTTGAAGGAAGAGGAGAGGAGAGGAGAGGAGAAGAGAGGAGAGGAGAGGAGCGGTGCGGAGAGGAGAGGAGATCGCAAGGGGAAGATCGCTGTGGGTACACTACACTATTCAAGTGCATGAAGTGTGTCCGACAGTTGAGGCCTTGAAGGATACGATTAACTTGTGCCACTTTGCTCTTCGTCATTGTGTGGGGAGATGGCTGAAGAATTCTTGAAGAACACGAAGGAGGAGGCGGATCTGAACCAATACTGGTACAGCAAGAGAACGATCAATGCGCTTGCAGACGAAGCAGCAGAGGCCGGAGAAAGCGTTGCGTTCCTCTCCACCCCTTCCATCTTCTTCTCCATGAAACCTGGGAGAAAGCGATGGGGGCAACAGAGTAGGCAGGGAGATGCCCTCTTTGACTATGACCGGCAGTGGGAGAGCGAGGAAGGGTTCTGCTTCTACGACTTCAATCACCCTGAAGGCATCCCTCAGAGCATGCAGGGCTGTTTCGACGCGGTCGTGGTCGACCCTCCTTTCATCACCGAGGACGTCTGGAGAAAGTACGCAACGGCCGTTCGCTTCTGTCTTCGGCAGGGCGGGAAGGTGCTGCTGACCACGATAGCAGAGAACTATGAGCTCCTCCAGGAGTTGTTCGGCGACTTGAACATAGCCAAGTTCATGCCGTCCATACCAACGCTCCCCTACCAGTATCGCATCTTCCTCAACTACAGCCCCGTCAATCCGATGCTGAGCGAGTGGAACGACGAGATCCCCAGGGAATTCGAGAGCATGCAAGTGGCGAAGCAGGAGCGGAGGTCCAACGTCGGGGCAGACGCGCAGCTCTGCTCAGGGGGCAAGCTCTCGTTCGAGGAGCTGATTGAGCGGGAGCTTGCAAAGGAGGCGGCAGCGAAACGGCAGTGAAACCTCGTGTAAGCGATCGGTCGACCAGCGTGTTGAGTATGAAGGAGGGAAAATTCTTGTTTTGACCATGAGGAGATTCAGTTGGCTATCAGGAGATGTCCTCGGTTTCCCGCTGATCAGCTTCAGTCTGCCATCTTGTCGGATTCGTCTAGCTTCTGCTTCTTACACTCCTGTTGGAAGAGCAACTAAATCTCAAGAAGCAAGAGAAGGAGTGGCAGCTGACCTCCTTGTCTGCCCCGGGCAGCTTGCGGTCCCTGTAGTACATCTCCGCCGCACGGATGAGAGACTCACCTTCCAGCGCTTGCACCTGGGGGGGAAGTCAGGAGGGAGGAGGGGAGGAAGGAGACGAGAGAGAGTGGCGGAGAGTCCAGGGGGATGTTGGTAAGAGGAGCATGTAGGAACATGGAGAATGCAAGGAACGGCAGTGATGTGTGGAGAGGCAGGTTGAGGAAGAGGAGAGAAGGGAGGAGGCAGGGAGGAGGCAGGGAGGCAGGGAGGGCAGGGGAGGAGGAAGAAGAGAAAGCAAGTACCTTAGATTTGAGAGTTTCTGCGGTATCGGACGGGAGGACAGGAACGCTCATCTGAACGACAGCATCCCCACCATCCACCTCCTCCACGACCTGCAAGCTCCGATTCAATCCACCGCATCATAACGCATGAGGAGTTTGAGCAAGTGAAGGAGTAGGAGCAGAAGACGGGAGAAGAGCATAGGAAGGGAGGAGGAGGAGGAGGAGGAGGAGGGGGAGGAGGACCTGGTGTACAGTACATCCTGTCTCTGTGTCTCCTGCGTCCAGCACCTGGTCGATGTCATCAGGAGGGGGAAGGAAGGGAAGGAGATCAACCGACTGATGGACAGCAAGGTCCATCAAGTTTGCGTGCTTGGGAAGCAAGGAGGGATGCACGTTCAGCAGCTTACCGTGCCAGTCTCTGATCGAAAAGTGAGGAAAGAGACTAGAGGGACAAGAGAAAAAGGAGCAGGAGGAACAGGGGCAGGGGCAGGGGCAGGGGCAGGGGCAGGGGCAGGGGCAGGGGCAGGGGCAGGGGCAGGGCAGGGCAGGGCAGGGCAGGGCAGGGCAGGGCAGGGCAGGGGGGGAAGGAAGAGGGCAGGTACCGAATTTCTTGGCGATCGCATCGGAGAAGGGAGACGAGGAGATTGAAAGGAAGTGGGAGAAGGTTTCGAAGGAGAAAAGCTGCTGCAGAAGGGAAGTAAGACTCTGCTATACCTGCCTCCTTGCTCTACGTTCCCCTCCCCTCCCTACTCGTTCTTACCTCGTTGACTTGTCCATGTCGGAAGCCAACCTTGACTTCTGCTCGAGCTGCAGGAGATTCATGACAAGGAGGGGAAGGGGAGCGAAAGAACAGGTGAAGACAAGACAAGCACAAAAGAGGAGGAGCGAGCAGAGACATAGAAAGAGGAGGCGGGAGGTTAGGAGGGACAGGAAATGACGAGGATGCGATGGAAGTACCTGCACGCGACCCCTCCACGAAGCATGGCTCGTTAGCGCTGCGGCACGTCAGAAGGACTAGGAGGAAGGAGGAAGGGAGGACCGAGGGCAGTGTCGCGTTCGATCTCAGCGGTTCTTCGCCTGACATGAGAATGAGGCGAAGAGGAGGGAAAGAAGAAGGATGGAAAAAGAGAGAGGAGGAGGAGGGAAGGGAGGGAGGGAGGGAGGGAGGGAGGGAGGGAGGGAGGGAGGGAAAGGAGGGAGGGAGGGAAAGAGGGAGGGAGAGGTGG